TATTTAGAACAAAACTACCATGAGACTGAAAACTTACTATTTCTAATTGCTCCTTTTACAGCACTAGAAGCAAAATCACATCAGTTAGTTATCTGAAGAGAAATGGGGCTGTGCTTTAGCAGCAGTGATCCCAGAGACTTTGTACAAAATTTTTAAGCCCAGTCTTCAGTAGGTTTTGTTGGGTTTTTTTGAGTGACTCAGTGACTCCTGCACACTCTAGCTGTCCTCCACTGAACTTCTGCTATTGCTCAGCATTGATTATGTTAGTACCTGATGGTTCATTAGATGTGCTGCCTCTCACAGGACACGCTGTTCTGGGTTTACCTGCCTGGCTGCTCTGTCCCTGCCCTGCAGCCTCCCTAGTTTATCTTGTCATTCCCTGCCTTTCAGTCTCCCAGGATCTGTTGTAGCTGTGTTCTCTCGCCCCAGTCCTTCCCTCCTTGCTGTTCCTGCATCTCTAGCAACATATTTCCTGATTAAACTCTCCTTTTCTTCTGTGAAAATTGTAATAAAAAAGAGGGATTTTTTGTAAAACCTTGCAGCCTTTAGGTTTTTATCAGAAAGGTTTACGGTTGCTGATGAGTTTACTTCTAGGACTAATTGTCCCTGTTCTGGTTACTTACACAGTTGAGGCAATTAATTTAAAAAAAAACAAAAAAACCTGTATGCTACTTCTCTTAGAAATAAAATAATTTACTTCCTCTTGTGTATTTGTATAATATCAAGAATATTTCTTGCCAACCCAGACTGCAAAGTGCTTGGTGTTTTTAAGCTGAGGTGCAGCTGTGTGCTAGGTTGAACCCAGATTGTAACAGCAGAACAGAGTCCTCAGGAGAAAGCCTAAATGCAAGGGAAGAAGAATGGTATCAAAACTTTCATATGTAAATAACAGGCAGATATTTTTTTTTACACAATTTGGAATAATCTGTATGGATAATATGATTTTGTTCTGAAATATATATTTTAAATGGCAAAAATACTGTGTTTTTCAATTTCCAGACAGGTGCAATCTGAAGTGCTGTGCCTTGCACAGCTCTGGGTGCCACCTGTTAGAGAAAGAATGCATTTTCTTAAGTTACCTAGGTGATAATTTTATTTATTTGTTTTTTTCCATTAAGTTAAATGTTCTAGTTATATATAAATGAATAAAAGTTGATTTGTTTTAGCACTCAGAAGGAAGGTCAAGCTTTGGACCAGGAGCATCATTTAATTGGTGCTATTAAGCAAAGAAATCCTAAACAAGAACATGACTTATTGCAGTACTTTTGTTAGGTCTATTCTTCTTGTTCATGTAAATTAGACCTTCTTTTGGCTTAAAAAAAGAAATGTCTTTTTTTTTTTTTTTTTTTTTTTTTTTTTTTTTTTTTTTAGGTGGGTGGCTGAAATGCTTGGCTCCAAAACTGGTAGGCCTTAAAACCTAATGAAATGGCAATATTTTATTTCACTAATATCACTCTTAATAAGATCTCAAGCTTTAGTTTTGGCTTTGTTTTTCGTTAGCAGAAAAAAAAAACCAACAGACAAACCACAAGGCAAAGCCCAGTTACTTTGCTGTAAGGCAGGGAGCATTTGTTCTATGTTCTACAGCACTTTTACCTCTGTTGTGCCAGGTGAGCAGTGCAGGTGTTTGCATTTCTCTGCTGGGTGCCAGAGCAGCAGGTGGGCAGGTGCTCCCTGCACCATTGCAATTATCCCCCTTCCACACAGGCTGGTGAACAGGCAGGTCTGCTGGAGCAGTCAGAGAATGAAAGATCCATTTAACTGTATACTTGTTATTGCTTAAGTAATGGGGAAAACTGTAGGGTGCAACAAGGGATAACTCAGACTAATGTGGTCCATTAAACCTTGAAATGAATATATTGAAGTATATTGTTTGATTTGTAACTTTTTATTATATGTGGAGGTAATAGGAAAGTATTTGGAACATTAATAACATAAAAAAGTGTATAGTAAAATTTTTGCAGATTTCTTGTGTTCAAGTCCA